ACCTTCTGTTTGTTATGCCTGCTGTCCTCTGTATGTTTATGTTTTAAGTTTGTTGTTGTTTTGTTTTGGGTTTCTTTTTTTTAAACAAAACCTAAGAGAACTAACCAGCTTGATATAAAGCTGGACAGTGTTATCATCCCAATTTGTTTTAGTGCAAAGTGGTATTTTTTACAGCAGATGTGATTTATAGCCCCTAAAAGCAGGATTTTATCTTCCATGTCAGTCCTTTGTTTACACAGGTGGATGAGTCTTGTGAGTTTGTCATCTCCTTCAGCTTATCGGAGCATGAATCACCACATTATGTAGAAGTAAATACCACATTGGTTTCTCGTTTTTGATAGAAGGAAATGGAAGCATATAACAAGTAACCTGTCTAGTTCACAGCCAGTTGCAGAAAAATGAAAGATTAGATTTCTTAACGTTCTGTAAAATGCTTTGTCATAAGTTGCAGGCACATAGTAAATGCCTGATAAATTAATTGATGAATCTATGAATTTGTCCACATTCCACACTGGTTTCTGAGTTTTCTAATATTGTTTCATGTAGTTACCACCTTACTGGCCATTGCAGTGCTACCCAATACAACTTTGTGCAGTGATGTTCCGTATCTATGCCATCCAGTAAGGTAGCCCCCAGCCATATGTGGCTATTGAAATGTGGGTAGTGCAGCTGAGAAACTGAATTTTTAATTTAGTCATGTAAGTATATAATTCTGTCACATGTAATATTATCTGATTTGGTTTCTTGTTTAATATATATTGTACATTTTCAGTGACTGACTATTAAATGGTAGGGTCATAATTAGACCATTTTATCCCTTCCATTTAGAAGTAGATATCTGGGTATGTTTCAAATGTGGGATTATAGAAATAGTATGTTAGAGAGACTTTTATGTCTGGATTATTTTAAGGAAGAGATTTTTAGGGCTGTTATGGTTCTGTTAAATTGTTTTCATTTTTTCATGAGATAGCCAAAGGCCTAATCTTGGACTCCACACCATGTTACTGTAGCATGTGGCATTACCTTTGTTTTTTTGAAAGTAGTGAGCCACCATTATTAGCTCAATTCAAAATCAGTTGCATGATGTTAGTCATACATTTTTTTTTTTTTTTTTTTACCTAAAATTCTCATTAAGCAGCAAGTCATTTTAGGTACTCAGTAGCCACATGTGCCTGATGGCTCCCGTGTTGAACAGCATAGACCTAGAAGATATGAGTATCACTGCTAGCCACCTTCAGCTAGTTGACATTTATAGAACTCTGTATCCAGCAGCTATAGAAAACACGTTCTTTCAAGTGCACATGGAACTTTGACTGAGACGCGGTGCACCATATGCAAGGCCATAAGATAGTCTCAAATCAAAAGATTAAAATCTCATAGAGAATATTCTGGGACCACATCAGCATTAAAGTAGAAAAATAACAGTATGTTACAAAAAAACCCATATATCTGGAAATTGAACAATACACTTCTAAATAATTCATTGGTCAAAGAGGGAATTTGATGGAAGATTAGAAATGTCAAACTAAGTGGTAAAATACACGATATCAAAATGTTTTATGGTTTAGCTTAAGCAATACTTCTGGAGGAAATTTATAACTCTGTATACTTATATTAAAAAGGGAGAGGCTTAAAGTTGATGATTTAAGTTCCTACCTTAAACTGCAAAAAAAACAAAAAATTAAACTAATCCCACATAAGGTAGCAGGAAGAAAATAAGAATAAGGGTAGAATAGTGACAGCAAAAATGAACTGCAATGTGATATTCTTTCCTTTTGATAACTTTTATTAAGTAAATTGCTAGCCTGTAATGACTAGCAGTAAAATTAGTGAGAAAAAAATTGTACTTTAAGAATTATAAGGAACCAATTTATAAATGAGAGTAGGGTTAAATTAAGCTTAATAATTACAATTATTTTTATAATGGAAGCCTCTGTTTTCTTGAACTCCGATTCATTTTAGTGCTCTGATTTACCTGTTTTGGAGGACAATTTAACCTAGGGGTGAAAAAAACCTAAAGGCATATTTTATAAACCCATGAAAGAGTTTTAAAGATGAGAATTTGAACTTAGTTTTAAATAACCAAATGGTAAGCAGCTGTGTGCCATTGAGAAGATATGTTCAGGACAGTGACATTTACGGATGAGTCTGCAGAAATGTTTGGCTCTCAGGAATTTGCATAATCTCATTCAACTGAAAAAAAAATAAACATTTAAATAAAACACTGAATTTTTTTCTTACAGGTTTATAGACAAGAAGGAAAGGTTAAGCCAACTTAAGAGCAAGCAAGAAGAATTTCAAAAAGAGTGAGTTTTCGTTTTGTTTTTTAATTTGTGGAGGTTGTCTAGTCACCACATGGTTTAATTCAGTGCTGTGGTATGCATACATGTGGATTGCTAATTTACTGAATTTAGGTTACAGATCTCCCCGTGTGAAGAGCAGTACATCTGGGAGAAGCAAAATAGGAGAGATGATCAAGTTTCTAGAAAACACTGGGATCAAACCTGGTGCCTGGTTCACTGCAGGCAGTGACTGGATGGATGAATCAAACCGCTGGCCCTGATAATTGACGTATTGTATTGTAAATGGGTCCAGGACAGAAGGCATATTAGACTAGCAGTGGTGGCTCTTGTAGGACATTATTGCTTCTGTTTATCTTTATTATTCTGTATCAGGGTTTTGCAAAGTGTGGTCTGCAGATCACCTGCATCAGAATTCATTAACTTCGGTACTGGTTAAAAATGTAGATTCTGGAATCCTATCCTCAGATATTCTGATTCAGTAGGTCTGGGGGTAGGCCCAGGAATCTGAGTATTAATGAGCACCGGATGAATCTCTCATCCTCTGGATTTGGGAATTGTCCTGTAGAACCTTTTGTCCCAAACTGATCCAGTCACTATTCTCCATACACACCCCAGACCTGATTAACACATTTATGAGTAGATGAAATCTTCAGAGATACTCTGCATTAGAAAAACCCACTTAGATTTATTTAACTCAGTCATTTCTCTAACTTACTCTATCACGGAAACTTAACTTTTTCCTATAGAACACTTCATTCCTTAGAACAAATTTTTGCCTAAGCTGGCTTATGCCTTTTAAAAAACAAAAAAAGTAATTAATTAATTTATTTATTTTTGGCTTTGTTGGGTCTTCATTGCTGTGCACGGACTTTCTCTAGTGGCAAGCAGGGGCTACTCTTCTTTGTGGTGCACAGGCTTCTCATTGCGGTGGCTTCTCTTGTTGCGGAGCATGGGCTCTAGGCGCGCGGGCTTCAGTGGTTGCAGCACACGGGCTCAGTAGTTGTGGCTCACGGGCTCTAGAGTGCACGCTCAGTAGTTGTGGTGCACGGGCTTAGTTGCTCTGCGGCACGTGGGATCTTCCCGGACCAGGGCTGGAACCCATGTCCCCTGCACTGGCAGGTGGATTCTCAACAGCTGCACCACCAGGGAAGTCCCATGGCTTGTGCCATTTTGGGGGGAGCTGACAATAGCATTTGGACCATGAATTCTCTTGTAACTATCATTATTATTAATTATGACTGGTGGAAATTATTGATTATTACGGAGGACAAAGGCTACGGCTGTTAATGGAAGTTTATTGTGAATGTTTATAGAAAGGCTCTGAGCTGTATTAAAAGTGCAAAAGGAAGGAAGTGAGAAAAAATTGAAGAGAGCAGGGAATCTGGAAAACATTTTTCAGTGCTTACATCCCACTTTGGTATATCCAGCTGTTTCTAAGACCTTATTTTACAAAGTTGTTGATTTTGCATTTTTGAGCTTCACCGAATTCATTATTTTAAGAGCATATTTCCTTTGTCTCTTCTCCATACAGAGTGTTAAAAGCTATGGAAGGAAAATGGATAACAGATCAGTTGGTAAGCTATAAGAAGAATTTAAATAATATTCTTTACACTTGGTTACATGGTTTTAAATTGGCAGAACTAAAAAAATCATTTCGAATTTAAATTTATTTTTGATCATTTTTTGGCAGTTCTCTGTGAATATATTCGTAGTGTGGGCTTCTCAGATATTTCATCCAGGTACCAAAAACAGGGTTTTGGCAATTAATTATGGAACCACTGTAAGGAATAATTATGAAGTCTGGTATTGACATAAAGATATAAGAACAGTGAGGTGTCCTTTTTAAAAAAATTACTCATAGTAAACACCTACTTTGTAGATGGGTTAATGATTGAATGTGAAAAATAAACTCAAATATTAAAAGGAAATATGGGAGAGTATTTATATAATCTGAGGGTGAGCAGACCTTTATAAGCCATAAAGGAAAACATTTGACACACTACATAAAAGTTTAAAAGTTCTATATGTTAAAGACCGTAGCAAAATGAATATAAACTGGGAAAAAATGAGTACAACATATGAAAATAAGGAGTTTGATTGATTATACTTTTATTCACTGTTGGTGGGAGTGTATATTGACATATTTGTTTGGGGGACAATTTGGTGGTGGCTTGTTGGTTTTTTTAATGCACATTTGGTATATCAGCAATTTTCCTCCTAAGAAATTATACATGAATGTAGAGATTTATGGATAAAGAGGCTGATTGTCTGCATCATTGGTAGTAAAGTTAATATATAATCTAAATACTCATCAAACAGAATGAGATGATTATGATGCTGTGTAGCTGTTGAAAAAAATGTGGTCAGTCTACAGGCACTTATATGGAATGATGTCCAAGGTATATTTTTTAATGAAACAATCAAACAAAAAGCAGGCTAGGGTAAAGTATGATTCCATTTGTGTATGTGTTTTAAATATATATCTGAAAAGATACATATCAGACTTTGAGATCAACCCTGAAGAGTGGGAAGGAGTCAGGTTAACAATCTCTTTCTTTCTTCTCTTTTGTGATGCTTAATTTTTTTCATAATAATAATAAGCATCCTTCATAATTTTTAAATGATAAAGAGATGTGATACAAGTGAATTCTGCTTATGCTCTGAATGTTATATAAACAAGTTGTATGGAAAAAGGTTATAAAAGGCTGTTTATAAAGAATCTCATCCCAGGTTTTCTAAGTTCTAAGTTTTCTAGTTTTTCTATCAAAAATTTAAATATTGATTCTTAAAGACTAATACCTTTTAAAAGTAAAGACATCTCATTGCCAGTTTATTCCTGAATCCATCGGTTCCCGTGCATGTGTTCTCAGATGTTTCTCTCACCCCACTGGAGAGGGGAGAGTTTTACCCACTGAACATTCCTGTAATCTACTCTGTATCTTGTACCATCAGACTAATTAGACAAGTGTGAAAAATTACAGGCATTTGACTGTTGTTGTACGCTTTCAATTATCCCCGTTTATGGAGGCATTATGGAATAGATAAATAATACTTTTTTAAAACTAGTAGGGCAGATTTTTACTTATCCTTTATTCTCTTTGGGGAAGCTGTACCTAAATCCTGGTAATATAAAATTGCAGTTTCATTTTTCATATAACTTTTTGAGACTTTTCAAGAAATCTTACATGAGTTATACACTTAAAAAAAACTTATGCTTTATTGCAGTTTTTATTATTTTGTGAGTAATATTTACTTATTGTATCAGTGAGATAATACAGTTGGTGGTCTTCTCAGTAACCAGCACTGAGAATTTAGAGCAGCACATCCATAGAACTCTCTGATAATGCAAATGTTCTCTGTCTACACTGCCCGATATGGTAGCCATTAGCCACTTGTGTTGACATGTACCACCTGACGTGGGTAGTGAGAGTAGGAACTGGATTTTTTAAAAATTTCATATAATCTAATTGCCTTGCAGATAACCACATGGGACCTGTAGCTATATATTGGACAGGGCAGGTTAAGAGAATATCCTTCAACACTTTTCTCTGTGCTTATTAACACATAAAAGAACTGTGTGAATTTCTCTTTCTCTCTTAATTTCCTAGCAGCTTCTGCACTGAACCAGAGTAACATTTTTTTTCTTTTTTGTAATCCACTAGTTACAAAAGCTATAAGAAATATAATTATACTGGTCTTTTATTCATTACATTTTCTAAGATACACCTCAAAATAAGTAGTGTCCCCAGTAGATAATCATATTAGTCATTAGACACCAACATTTGTGATATTTATTTCATACCTTTTTTAAGAGATGGAAAATAATGTCCTGCAAGATGAGGATTGAACAGCTGAAACAAACTATATGTAAAGGAAATGAAGAAATGAAGAAAAGTAAGTAATTTTCCACCTCTCTCCAGCCCTAATAAAGGATGGACTCATGTGGAACTTCATGCGATTAATAAACAAACTAGAGAGACAGAGGAAGGGAGACAGAGAAGGGGTGGGGGGAGGCAGGAGCAGCATGGAAAAGTTTACTGCTTGCCTTTCTCTTTGTAAAACATCTGTATAAAGAATTTATATATATATTTTTTTCAGATATATGTATGTAAAACATATCTGTGTGTATATATATATACACACATATGTCCATATATACATATACACATGCACGCAAATGTAATGACTTTTAAACTGCTACATTTCTCAACTTAAAAAGTTAAGGAATGTATGTGTCCCGTTTCCCTTAGCTGACAGGAAGCTCAGAGTCAGTCTTGGTAATCAGGTATAATAATTAGTTCATACCAGAAGCACAGAATATAAGACTCAGTGAGTCTTTTTTTTTTTTTTTTTTTAA